GACAACTCTTTCTTTCTTAAGGAATATCTAAAGTTGTTTATTTTCATACCCATTGATTATGTAACCTGAACAGGTGACTAATGATTGTTCTGTGGAACTTTTGATTGTTTCAAACAGTTTTGCTTATCAAAAATCCTCAAGTAATTAATATATAAAAAATTATACAGTCACTAAAAATCATGAAATAATTTATTTTTGTAAAAAAATACAACCGACTTCAAATGCTCTAAAAAGAATGAAATAATTTCAATAAAGTAAACTTTTGTATTAAGCAAGCTCACGTATTTCAAGTCGGCGCGGCTCAAACTGCAAATATGATTGAAATTAAATATTGTGTGTGTGTTTTGAAAATCAATAAATTGTAGCTGGATAACATAAATATATAAAAAAAACATACTGAACAGTTTTGTTTATATATTAAAGGAAATATTTTCTTGTATTTTATGTTTACTTCAGAATAAATGCATTATAAAAATAACACACACAAATGTTCTATATGAATAGGAAAATAATTTAGTTTGATATTATGATAGGGAAAAGAAGCCGTTAATACCACTATAATGCCGATCTCTGATTACGGTAATAAAATAACACTTAACGCATAACTATGAGAAAGACATGCAGATTAACGCCTTTAGTTATAGATAGTCACCTGCAATATGGACACCCTCTTTCAATTTTGTATCAAAAATCATCATAGAGCCGCGCCAACTTAAAATACGTGAGCTTGCCTAATACAAAAGTTTACTTTATTGAAATTATTTCATTCTTTTTAGAGCATTTGAAGTCGGTTGTATTTTTTTACAAAAATAAATTATAGACAAAAACAGCTTATAGAAAAAAGTCATAACTCTGTTATACCATTGACTTTTAGGATACCTACTCAAGTTCTATCCGTATTCAATTGATGCAAATAAAAATATCACCTACTGAATTAAAGTGATTAATCATCTGACGGTTGGAAGTTATAAACACATATGAGCAGATGGATAACTGAACCATGAAACAAGACGCAGCTAAGAAATAGTTTATACAGACTAAAAGCTTTACACATACTTAACACAGACTATTGAGTTCAAATATTCATTGACCGTGCAACTTAATGACCCGATACACAGACGGAACATTTAACAAAACAATTAGCCAACCTAATATTTGTGTGGTCCAGGGTGTAATTACATTTCCATAATTTTGGTACCCTGTCTGTACAGAATTTTATAGGTGTTCTAGTTACCTTTTACAGTTAGTGTAGAAGCATGTTTGGCAATCGTAAAATTATGTTCAATGTGTACAACAACAAATACTTTAAAATCCGTCTTATGGTTAGCAAGAATTTTATTTGATTTTCTATATCACATACCATAGAAACGGTATTGTATATTGTAAGAAAAATCGGATTAACTATTAGAGTGGCTAGGGAACCTTTCTTATTGATTAACTTTAGACCAAGTAATCATTTTCAATTGAGTACATGATGATAATTAATAACATGATTTGGCAAAACGCCAACATTACATATTTCCAAAGCTATGGTTTTGATAATTCTCTTTAAAATTGTGTTACTACAAATCTTCTTTCACATAACCACTCAATTACAAACATACTTAAAATGTTTTCTTTTCTTAACGTGAATGGATTTTGAGAATGTGCCGACATAGATCTTCAATTTTGTAAGTAGACTTCTTTTCTCGTTGTAAAATAAAAATTTTGTTATGAATTCCGGTGTTATAAATATAAATTCTGGTGCGTGTTTCATGTCTTTGTTGTCGTGTTTCTGTCTTATTTTGGAATAGAATTTAAATGTTATGCTTTACTCTTTGGTTATACAGTGTATAATACCAGAGGGCCAAAACACTTCACAAAAAGGATAGGGATATATTATTGTACAAACAGGATTCTGCCATATTCAATTACAGAAATACGTTGGTTATAAAAGACAAACAAAGATTGGACAAAGTACCCTCTCAAACCCACAGAAACATATCTTCAGTTTACTCATAGGCATGACGAATTCGAGTATATGAAGGAGAATGAATCTATGGTACTGAGATAAAACCTAAGTCATAAGATAGTTTCTTATCGTACATTTGTATTAAAAAGTAATGCACCAAGTTATGATCTTACAGACAAGATACACTCTAAAGAAAGTAGTTCCGATTTAGATTCAATCAGTAGTGATCTGCGCGATGGTTACGGTTGGGACGTTACTTTTCACTTCCTAGTGGACGAGATGGGCTGCTTTATGGTGACCCCTTCACCATTGTTGTCAGCCTCTATGATAATACGTGACAAGTGCTTCCCTACCCAGCCCTTCATAAACTGTCTGGAAATTGCTCTGGACCTTGCATACAAATGAGAGTGAAAGGTCAATGGGGAAGCTGCTAAAAATAGTTCAAACAAAATGGAACCCCGTTTTCATTTGTATTAGATTATATGTAAATGACGCCCACATAGAGTGCGTATTTAAAGAGAAGACGAGTGAAGAACTAGTGGTAAATGAATTAGATAAAAGCTTTGCTTCAACTGGTTCTATAGCAAGGACAATTTATTAAAAGCACAATCAACAAACGTTGGACCCAGTTTCGAACCATAACAAAATATAGAATTAGGGTCGAACTGGTAACATTTTGCTTTTGTTAATTATATCCAAGCGATAATTTTCACAGATAATTATTGCATATGGTCTTGCCAGTGCAAACAGATTCAGGTAAGCTTTGAGTATTAATTTGTGTACATAGTAAGTAGATAGGCATACGTGGTTTTAATTTTATGACGCTTAAAAACTAGAAAAAATACTACTTAATTCAGATACCTAATTTATTGTTTACTAACAAAAATATCATTCTAGTAACTAATGCAGAAAATATTGTAAAATTAGAAACAGCTAACCAATTATTTATGATCTGAGCATAGAGCTCATAATTTTGTTTTTATCACGTTTGAAGTTAGTTTATACAACGAATACCAATTTACGAATTTATTCCAACGAAAATACCATAGGTTAGAATTCATATAGTAGGATTACTAGAGTTTAGTTCATTAATTAGAGCTTTAAACCAGTTACAATAGGTGATGTATTTATATTGTGCTCATTAAATAAGTTGGTAGAATGATGATTCAGCACTATATTTTGCTATAGTTTACTAATTCTTAAATTCTTTTAAAGTGCATGATGGAAAAGAATTTCATATTTTACCCATTAAAAAACCCCCAAATAATTTAAAATAACATTTGGTTGAACACACTTCTTAAGAACCCATTTACTTCGAAATAACTAGTTGCATGATAGTGTTTTTCAACGAATCAACCTCCAAAATAGTGTCAATATATTACTTCACCTCATCAAGGCGATTGTCTAAACTAAGACAAGTTGAAAGAAACACTTTCGCTGTGTCAGTGACACAGCTGATCATCTACATGTGACTTTCTCTATGGAGAACAATCATCTGATCGCTGGGTTATGATCGCGCGTGCGCGGGAATTGTGCGGGTGCGACTAAAATTGGCGCCAAATCGTGCAACTAACGCGTGAAATAGAGGAAACGGGATACAGTACCGGCGAGTGCTATTGAGGAGCGAAAGATTGAAGTGGTTTAGGTAATGTTGATGGAATTTAATTTCTCTTTGCGTTGAATCTTCTCGTTTCTGATTTTATATTACGCATTGCTAATTAAATTATGGTATAGGTAAAATTCTACGTAAATAATACAAAGTGATGACATGAATCACACTTTGATATTAGAACATATAAAAAACCATAATTTTTACACAATAATAGAAATACGGAAAGTAAATAAAAGAAATGTTTTAAAACACTTAAAAGATATATTTACGTTTCTACCCTTTACTCACAAGACGGTAAATATACATAAAAGATGGTAATTGCTTGTGAGTAACAGTATAAGCGTAAACATATCTTTTAAGTGTTATAAGACGTTTTTTATTTACTTTCCGTAAATTTAATAACACGTACATGCTTATCAAGAAGTTATTTAATATTAGAGATTTGAAGCACATAAAAAACAATATTTTGTAGCACCCACCATACTTAGATGATATTAGCAGATGGATTAGAAGATGACATTAACAAAGAGAGACTGCTTAAGTAAATGTCTCGATTTGAGTGGCAACATTTGTGGGACGGAAAAAATAAGTTGGGTTATTTAGACTAAATCCGAACCATAATATGTGTTTTACTATACCAAATAAATGCTAGTACACACGAACCATATGAGTACAAATCACACAAGCGATGATAAAGACTATGTTTCAAACTTACAATGAAATTGAAAAGCGATTTACCTTTATAACCTGTTCATAAAAAAAAATATTTTGAGCCACCTTGAAAGGCAATTCCCTCCTTTCACCTTTGAGAAGTTACGTATTTTGAAACAATATTAATGTTACTATAATGGATTAAATTTCCTAGCTTCGTCCAGTGATCCTGTGTCAGTGGGACTCTAAAGTACATGATAAATGTCGGATAAAAAAATCATTAGCCATAAGAAATTAAAGCAGTACACTTACTAGCACAAATTCTATTGTCAGTACTGTAATTTTAAATATAAAAAAATCAACTCTATTTAAAGGGCTCCTCCTACAAGAAAATATTATCGTGCTTTAAAATTTAACCTAAGACAAACATCGCTAAAATATCATCTTTCGATTAAAGTTTCATAAAAAGGTGACATTTAAATACATTTGGACTTAATTAATTGCCATAATTTGTAAGCCATTTTATAAAAAAAAAGAATAATAAAACATAAATTTTTGAATCACACAAACAAATTGTATGGCTATTAAAAAATCTTAACAAAAAAGGTAAAATTTGCAAGAAACATGTTTATACAAAAAAAATTCTCACGTGACAGGGCCCCGACCTTGCTCAAGATCAAGTGTAAGGCGCTGCCTTCTAGATCGCCGCGCCGCTCCACTCTCGATTTCACCGGGGGCGTCGCCCTGCCGAGGAAGGGAGGAGGTATATAGGTGGCAGTGGTCGTCCTCAGCCACATTGACGACCTGATACTGTCATCATGAAGGCCTTGGTGAGTACCTACCTCTAGTGAAGGGGTGTAGAATGGTTCTAGCAGGGTTAACACCAGGGGGTAGTAGTCTGGAAAGGTTCAAGTGGTTAGAAAGATAAGTTAAATAATTTATGCTGAAATAAACGATTTTAAGGTTTTTGATCAAAGGGACTAAGTTGTTTTTCTAAAGGATGTTTTTCTAAGTTCAAAAGTTGTTGTTGGAATTTTTAAGTATAACACTTTGTTTAAAAATATAAATACATTGATTTAATTTGTTATTCTAATAAGATTCAGATAAGATTTATAATGAATCAATAAATTATACATACCATTAATATAATGCGTTTAACTCACTAAACAAGTAAAATACTTAATCAACCTTAGAAACTAAGTACTAAAAAAGCTATATAATAGAGCTAAGTTTTAACAATCATAAAGTTTTAAAGTAAAGATCAATTACAGTAAATTTGCTTTTTAATCTGTCCAATCTTATATGCCTGAGTTAAATATAAATTATGATAATTACTTCAGTAAATAATATGTTCATGATATCGCATTGAAACATAAATAATTAGACCATTTTAAAGTATGTTTCTGAAAACACGTTAAGAATAATTAACGATTATCATTATAAAAAACAATTTGTAATAAACTTCTCAATATATCTATAAATTAAATATCGAATTACTTTAAAGACGGATCGAAATATTATACAAACGGTTTAATTTGATCTTATAAGGAATAAAGGAACGCATGATGATATATGCCAACATGCTGTTTATCAAAACTTGCCAAATTACAAAGTACTGTGTAAAGCTAAATAAATTTGTAAAATAAAAAAGTCCATCTTTAAAGAATATACAACTCTGAATTTATGCATTATTTATTAACCATGCTAGTTCCAAACTACGTTTTAATGCACTAATTAATTAAATGATTTTTTTCATCCATCTACTTATCTTACTTTCTAACATGTAATACATTATTATTTTATCTCTTTCATTCTGCTAGATGTGAGGGCATATGGGCATTGTACAGTGTCTTTGTTTTGTTAACTGATAAGTGACTGGCTTTCAAATTTTGCATTGACACTAAATATAAGGTTAACATAAATAAGAATAAGTTTAGGAAAACATAAAGAGAACTAAAGTACGATAAATGTAATTTTATTTGGCGTTCTGCTCAAATCGTTAAACACTTAAATTTTGTTCTGTTAGCAGAACTGTCATGCCTTTTATAAACAAAGTTATAACTAATCAAAGCAAAAATTAATAATAATACTCCAGTTAAATAGTTACTTTGTTGTTAAACTATTTCCAAAAATTATATGGAGTGCACTACCACTCACTTTCCAACCCACATATCTAATTGATTATACAAAGTACCGGTGAAATAGAAAAAATACGTTTCCGATCTAGTTCTATTTGAACGTTAAGTTAAGGTTTGTAAATAAAATGATGATCAGAAACGTTATTCATAAAGGGGTCCTAACACAAGAGACTGTTAATTCATTGAACGATAACATTCAGTTTAAGATTGACGTCGATAAAAGTTCGTTACTGTATTGAAATGGCACCGCTATAAAAATAGTTTTATAATGCTATAATGTTAACTCTGAAATGGTCATGTTTATTATGAACGCTTTGCTTTACAAAAATTGCTATTTTGAAAGTAAATAAATATTTAAACAAGTCAGTTTTATTTCCAAACATAATGGTCAAATTTACAGTAAAACATTCTTTTGGCATAATCGTAATTGGTTTTAAGGAAACCAGTTAAATCAGAATTCAGTACAAGCTACATTTACTTGCATTTATTGAAGTAATTCTAAAGTAAATTTATAGAAACAAGTTAAGGAAAAAAATAAATTACAAAATATCAGAAACCATAGAGAACACGGAACTAAACAAAGTTACGATTTTGTTAATGAATTTAGTAAGTATCTCAATCAGTGTAATAGTATAAGAATTAACTATTTTAAACCATTTGAATCTCTTCGCTCCAAAGATATTTAGATTAGTCTCCTCGATTTCGAGCAACATGTACACTAGTTATCGATTAATCTACTAACAATGAAAACTTTCACCGTTATTAACTGAGTCAACTTCCTAATTTAAAAAGCCAGTGATGCGTGTAATTAAGTTAATCAACAATGCGTGAAAGATTACACAAGCTTATACTACTAATACAAGAATGTAAACAACGAGAGGTTCATTGACCTCTCAAGGTCGCGGTCTTGTCACGTGACCTAGAGCTTGTGCGGGATGAGTCACTACAAGCTGTAAGTGAAGAGTGGTTCCCAATAGTCACGACTTGTAGGCTACCCATAACCAGTTATACAATGGTGACCTATGGAAGCGCACGCACAGAGTCAACCTTGGGCATCGTGAGTGTGACCTACTGTTTGACACGGTTGGCCTAGTCACATCGGTTTTTTAAAACGTTGGTAGGATATTAAAATTGATTAATTTCGAGATGTTCTAACTTTTTCTCTTGTTGTAGATGTTATTGTGTTTGCTGGGCTGTGTCTGGGCAGAGACCCCAGCCAACTCGCAGTCTGAGGAGGCTCCAGCAACATCTTCGAAGCCTAAGAGGACGGCGGTATCCACAACCTATGGGACTCCGGCTACACAAGGTTACTCAGGAGCGTCATCGTACTCCGGAGGATCACCAGGATACACCGGAGGATCTGTAGGATACAGTGGAGCGAGTCTAGGAGGATACTCCAGCCTAGGAGGCTACCCTTCTCTCGGTGGGCTAGGAGGGTACTCTTTGGGAGGTTTGAGCCACTACCCAGTTCTCGGAGGGTACGGCGGTCTAGGAGGTCTGAGCTTCGGTCAAGGCTTGATCATCCCCGCCCACGGAGGATACGACCTAGGTAGTCTCTACAGCGGACTGGGAGGTCTAGGTCACGGGTACTCTCTAGGAAGCTACTCTCTGCCAGCCAACACAGGGGTCAAGGGAGGTAGTCTGTCGACGGCTTACGTCGCACCTCTGTTCCAGCCAACCCCATCGGCTCACTCTGCCTCCTACACTCCATCATACTCTGCAGGATCCTCCTACCCTGCCCAGACATCCTACAGCACTCCTACCTCGTACTCATCCCCTTCTTACTCATCAGGGTCAGCTTACTCTGGATCCTATTCCTCACCTTCTTACTCTGGATCTCCTGGCCTCGGAAGCTACTCTAGCCCAAGCTACGCATCTTCTGAGCACTCCGCCCCCTCGTCTTCTTACGGTGCGCCGTCTTTCTCCCCCTCCTCCTACACTGGTGGATCCGGATACTCCGGTAGCTCTGGATACTCCGGATCTTCTGGATACTCTGGATCTTCTGGATACTCAAGTGGTGCGTCTGGATACAACTCGTACAGCCCGTCATCTTCCTACAGCTCTCCTTCCTACAGTTCTCATTCACCTTCCTACAGTTCTCATTCACCTTCATACAGCGCTCCCTCATCATCCTACAGCTCGCCTTCCTCATCATACAGCGCTCCTTCTTCATCCTACAGCTCCCCATCTTCATCCTACGGCCCACCTACTCAGTCATACTCTGGATCGACGAATCATTACAACACCATAAGCTACAGCAGTGGAGCCGGAGCTGGCTATGTTAAGCACTAAACCAAACTGTTATTTAATTATTCTTTCCCAAAACTTCAACAAGGCTATTCATAAATAACTGTTAAACCAATCATCTTCATTGCATCCTCATCATAATCCTCATCATTCCCCATTCCTACCTCATTTGCATCACATTGTATTCATTATCTTTTTACTTTTAATTTCATTATTCATTCATTATCATCTAAGTCACGCCACCCATTTCATCTTTAGGTTAAGCCAGTTGTTTATAGTTGTATATTAGCGTACGTTGTTCTATTTATAATCTGTTGACTCATTTTGTAGGCTAGAATTTATATTGTGATCGTAACTAAGAGTCCTGTTAATAAATTATGTTTTGTAAAAAGTGTGAAATTGTGTGTGTTTATTTTTACCTATAACCAAACAGAATTGAATTATTCACAGTTTGGCGAGTAATCAGTAGAATTTCTTGAAATTAACCTATATCTCTCTGTTTTTACATTGTGTTACCAAAATAATATTCTAAGCACATTATTATACTAGCTGAAAACATATAACATATTAGCAAGCTCCCCCCACAATCGGACTATGGGAAAAATAAAGTGATACAATTAGTTTTTTCCAGCTGACGGAGCTGGGCAATGATCGATAGAATTAAAAGCAGTAATGGGCTACTGACCCTTAAAGCCATACACCATGGGCACCATGGGTAGTGAAAAGGTATTTTGAAATTACGGTAAGGTATTAGAATGAAGATAAGTAATCTTCGGATCAGCACATAATAAAAACACCTCCCTTAACTTGTTACTACTACTATTTTACTTACTATACTATTATACTATTTTACTTACTACTATTTACTACTTAAACTTCTATCGCAATTGTAAAATTATGATTATGTAACGTTAGTTAATAATGGTGTTTACAAATTAATAATATGGCATCATTTTTCTCTTTGATAATTTAATCCCCTCTCACCAATTGCCGTGCCAAGCAATTACTGTATTGTTACTTACAGTGATGAATATGGCTAGCCATGTAATCATGAGTCTGATGGTGTTCAATCATCCAACGTTTAATGATTTGAATTAATTTAACCTGAAAAAATTAAGTCTGAATTTCTTCACAAATATGATTATCTCGAAAATATTACAAATTGTATCAATTGAAAATATCGTTGTGTCCATCCCACAGTTTTAAGGGGGGTCACGTTGACATTTAAGGTCAAATTATTATGTACTGATTTTCCTGTTTAGTGAGGTGTGTTGAACAGATTTTTTAGTGTGGACACATAAAAAAAAAAACATTATTTAATCAATTCAAATAAACTATATCTTTTCTGAAAGACCTAGCCATCAGTAAATTCATTGAATACAAAAAATGATTAAAAATAGTTATAAGTAATAACATCCGGTTTGACTGTTTTCACACGAAACAACAAAATAACGGGTTTAGAAAATAAATTAAATAAAATTTTCTTTGTATAACATTTAGAGAATAAAGTCATACATTATTTTTAACCAGTGAGAATAACAAGGGATGCAAATTATTCCATCTTTTAGACAACTACTTAAACTTTTTCTGGGCTTTGTTAACTTTTGCTTGATCATTAGCTTAAATATATATTAGCTGGCAAGGAGCAGTTTGTACACTGTTCAACAAACTATTATTTAAAGAAATTAACTGTCAAACACTAAAAATGTCTAAAATATTTGTATACTTGTCCCAATATTAATGTTTTCTACGTTTTGTTAAATTCCCTGTTTTGCTTTACATTCTGTACTCATAGTAATGCCAAGGCTACAAGTTTAAACAATCACTAAGAAGTGCGCGGCAAAATTTAATTGTTTACGCAATTTCTCGTGTCACTTTCATTGTTTTATGTCATTAAAACTTGCTGGAGAGAAAGTTGGGGGACAGGACGGGACGTAAAAGGCAGATTAGAAGGTCTGATTCATGCTTGTTGGAGAAATTGTGGCGCAGTTCACTGAAAATGGACGAAAGCGTTAGAATAGGCTCAGGAGGAAATGCCACGAGAATGGAACTACAGTAGTTAGTTTAGCTTTTGTGACGTGCTCGTAACTCAGCTGGTAATTTATTTGTGTGAATACTTAGACTTAGCTGATTAAACTGGCGTTTGGTATAAAACAAAACTACAATATCTTTAATATTTACTACACACATGCATTTACTTAGGAAAAGAGTACAATAGCACAACACAATAGCTTGCTTTTGAAAATTCCTTAATTACTCCCACTTCTCAAGCTGCTTCTCTGATAAGCCTCGTTCACACGGTGCGAGTTTACAAGCTACTCGCCAGCGTGTAAGAAGCCGGCGAGTTGGCGAGTGTGCTTGTATTCGTTCACACGGAGCTTGTCCACTCGCCAACTCGCAGACGTGTGGAAAGACGCCGGCGAGTCGGCGAGTGCGCTTGTAGTCGTTCACACGATGCTTTTTCCACTCGCTCAGTAGCTGGCTTGAACCGAATCCCCCAACATCTTTGAGTAACAAGCGCACAAGCACAAGCAACTGTGTTCACACTGGGCTACTTTACACGCCTACTCGCTCAAAAGCTGGCGAGTTGGCGTGTAAAGTAGCGGCAGCGTCAACTTTTTCCAGAGCTTTTTTACAAGCAGCTTTTGAGCGAGTACGTCGTTCACACTGAGCTATTTTACTAGCTGCGTGTAAAAAAGCCGGCGTGTAGCTTGTAAACTCGCCCCGTGTGAACGGGGCTTTAAGGGAAGAAATAATTCTGTTAAGGGTATACCTAATCTACAATATTGATAGGGGTTTGTAAATATTATCTATATCTATACTATTATATAAAAATCTAATGGTGTCTGTCTGTATGTGTATTACTAATAGGCTCAAAAACTACTGAACCGACTGGGCTTAAATTTTACAACAATATAGCTACCATACCAAGGACCATTATATGACTAATCACACTTTGATACTGACGTGGGCTTTGCCCCTTTGGCTTTAACATTTCTGAGGTGAGGATTTTAAAAGTAAATATTGATTTGTCTCCATGGCTGCGATGAGAACACTAATAATGTTTGTTTACATTTGCTTTGACATTTCAATGTAAACAAGAAGAACTGCTAAATTGCATATTTTACAATTTCAGACAGCTGATACAAAGAAATTAAATATAATATTTTCCATAACCATGAGGTAGGTTTATGTCAATGATTATAAAAAAAGATTCTATAACCGTTGCTGTATCAACTCCGGCTCTGCTTTGGATTTTTTAAAGCGTCTAAGTTATGAAAATAATATTATTGATATGTTTTCATGGAAACAGTATGAAAATTACAATGTATAGATGGTTTGTATGAATTTGGAGGATTTTTTTTATAAATTCGAACTGCTTAACATGTGTTGGATAAACAACTTGCACTTCACATAGATTCTTTTATATTTATGTAAATTTAGCAATTGTGTTTTACTACACCACTGATTGAATCAAACTAAGGAAAATATCATAAAACTTAGCTGTACACGGTGTTCTTTTGTTTCTAAAATCAATGAAAGGACTATGGAACTAAATAAAAGAACGGTTTCTATACTATGTTGTTCGTTGAAGTTTTTTGTAGAGTAAAATCATAGATGCGATGAAACATATACCGAATTACTATTATTTTTTTTGTTCTTCTATGTTTTGATAATTATTAGTTTTGTCTATCATCTTAAATGCTCAATTTCATTTGTAAATTGAATAATATGAATCAAATCAAATCAAATCAATGTATTGACACAAATGATGTACTAAAGATATAAAACAAATGTGTTAAGGGTGTGGATAGGTTTGTTAACTTTGGGGCAGAGCTGTAAGCAAAAACACTGTTGCGCAAGAAATCACAAACTGAATCATGGCTGGTAACAGAGCATATTATGCTAACCTCAAATCCAATCTGATGACCCCAAAGACAAAGATGAAGCTATACAAAACTCTCATTAGGCCTGTTGTTACGTACAGTGCAGAAACCTGGTCCCTTTCCGCATTGAGCACAAAGTCCTAGGGTTGAATTTTGTTTGTAAATTGTAAAAGCGTTGGCGGATGTGTATATTTTATACGACAGATGTAAAGATCAAAATGTTTCTATTTCAGGTCCTCTTCCCGTTGCAAAGCACGGGTACAAAAGCTAGTTACTAATATAATCCGAAAAGAATACACTTAAAGGATATAGATAAAATTACGTATACGTGAATGCACACACTAACCGAATAACCAAAAGTAATTAAGGTTATACCTCTGAGTAAAATTTTTACCAAGTTGTTTAATGATATAGAAATTATACATTTTGATATCTAAAAATATTTCTCCAAATGTTGTTTTGTCATGTCTTAGCTACATTCAATAACTAGATTAGTGATAATTTGAATGATAAACTAAACCCGTACTATCTAGTTCGACTTAGGATAAGTAATATACGAGTAATATGAGAAAATACTAAATTGGGAGACCAAAATACATTGAGATGTCCAGTGTTAGTTCAAACACTCGCCACAAGATAGCATGACAGTCTCCAGGGAATGCTACCTACCCTTCTATATTAAGATAAAATTCAAGGAACTTAATTTGAAGGATCTTTGAGATAATTTTTAATAAGGGTTTCTTAGTTAAAACCCAATACATGATTGCACTATAGAACTGATGAGTAAATTTAAAAGTAACGTTGGACCTATTTGTATTTTAAAGTTTCATTACAAGTTGAGATAATTCAAAGTATACTACTTTGACATGAGTTGGAGTTGACCCCACGTCTTATTTTATATTGAATCGTAGTCAATAATAGTTTAAGCAACGAGTTGTAGTTGGCAATATAAATTAAATAATACCTTCGAATCTAAACGTTGTTGGTTTGATTCTAAACCACCATGGCATTTTCTGATCCACATAACAATGATCTTATCAACAAATGGTTTACGTGAGATAGTCACAAAACCAAGATGTGGATTCCTATGGAAAATGTAAACATTCCAATAGCTTTGAAAATCAACTATCACGAGGTGTTAGCCCGTCCTACGTACGGGAATTCAGTAGTCAGTTAAAACCGTGTACAATTCAGATCAGCTAGTTTACACATATAAAGACAAAGTTTCTTGCAGTTTTAATGTGAAAAATCATCTTGTAAACAAATTTGGGTACACTTCCATGTCTGTTGGCACAAACAACCGAATGAGTAATATTGATTATTCGATTGTTGAGTTCGATATATCGTTTGGTCAGTTAGGTTAGGTTAACCTTACCTAACTAACCAAACGATATATCGAATAATATATTCATCGATCGATATTTTCACTCGGTTGTTTAAGTGCCAACAGATATAGAAGTGTACCCCAATAAAACAGCAATAATTCTGCAATTTTTACGATGTGAAAAGCGT